CATCTCTATACTGCAGTTGCTATTTCATTTCTAAGAAATACCCTTTTCCTAGAGGATGTTTAAAAAAAATTTATACTTTTTACAACAAATTTCTGAGAAACAACCCACCTGCCACCTTTTCAAAGGGATCAGTTGTATTTACCAGCTGACGTTATGGCTAAGCAGGTTCCCCACACCTTCCCCCAGCTACTGCAGAGTATTAATGCTTGCTGAATTCATTAGAATTGCAGTTTCTCTTCCTATTCTCAGCAGATGTACTTGAGACACTGCAACATATGGTTCAAGCAGACCAGCGGTCTCAAAGGCTCAAGTCAACACTGGGCATTCCCAAATTTGGGGCTGTTGGCATGCAGTCAGTACCTATTTGTCTCTCTGTCTACCTAGGCCAGAGACTCCTTTAATATGATATAATCTGTCTAATCGAGATTGGCTTCTATTCTTGGCTGTGCTGCAAACTTCCTGTGTGACTTTGGGCCAGCCAGGGCTCCTTTCTGCCTTCCCACCTCTCCAGGTCTCGTGAGGATCCCATCATTACTGTTTGCCAGGTGCAGTCATGAGCCCCATGGAAATGCCTATAAATAACAGCTCCAAATTAAATATTGGGGAAGTTCAGGTTAGAGCCTTGCGACTCTCTCTGGCCCTGGCAAGCACTGTAAACTGGACTTAGCTGCATGCAAACCATCACCTGCTCCAAGTTGTAGCTCTGGGAAGAGATTGAGAAAGCTGACAGCTAGGTCAGAACTTGGTCTGCGGAGCCAGCCCTCCTCAGGCTTTAAAGCAAGTCTGTGTATCAGGAGAACTTACATTATGGCTGTGAACATATACATGATTCATTGTTGATGATTCTCTCCAGCATCCTTGAAGGACTCAGCATCTCTTAGGATTTGGGGCTATGGGGCAATAGGCTTGTCAATTATGCGTGGAGCAGTATGAGTCCCAAAACTGTTCTTTGTGCTGAGTGGTGTACCTCAGGTGAGGAGGACCAGAGGAATGGCCCGGACTCATGGGTGCTGCTCCCCAGGAGGGTCGCAGTGTTTCTGGAGCTCACCAGTGCCTGGGTGGGTACCTCAGAGATCTGTGCTGTCCTGGGGGGACAATGGCCAGGGAGCAGATTAGCTATTTCTCAACAGAAAAGAACCAAAAAGGTGGAGGTCTTCTCATAATCACTTCAGTTGGGGTTTGTTTGCCTTTATTGTGCCTCGAAGCCTTGTTTGGAGAGCTAGCAGCAACGTGACCTAAGGGAAATACAGACAAAGGAAAGACTGGGAAGCAGAGAGGGTTGACTGGAGGAAAAAGCAAGCAAGCAAGCATGAGTAATACAGGCATTGGAAGTGCTTTATAATTAGTTTATAAAAGCTCTCTTAACATCAGCAAAGCACTTTCTACTAAAAATCTGTAATAAAAACTCAGCAATATTTGTAAGCATTGTATGTTTTGCATTTAATTCTGTTAAGCTGCTCCAAGAAGAGCATCTAAGCAATGTGTTTCCCTCCTTTCTCAACCCCTCATTGTCTGGGCAGTTAAAAGCACTTCAGCTTTGCTTCTCTGCCTTAAAACTCCCTGGTGGAAACTTTCGTTTCAGGCGGTTTCATACCAACTGGCTGAAATACCCTGCTTCTGGAGGAGCAGCCAACTGCAGTCACCTTCCCTGCAAGAAGACTTGGTTAATCCATTGACTATACTTGTGGGTTATGGATGCTGCACCCTGCCCTCACATGTCTATGGCTGGCTCATTGGAGCAGTGCCTAGATGAGAAGTGGCCATGAAATGTGCTTGGAGATGGCAGCTTGCCCAGTGGCGGTAATGCCAGAGAGGTCAGCCCACAAGGATGGTGGTGCAGATTGCCTGAAACAATGGGTTTGGTTATATGAGTGAAATGCAAATTGCTGGGCACTGGTCAAGACAGTTTGGATGCCATTGCTGTGTAAATATGTCCCACCCAGCTGTGCCTTAGTCTGTAATCATCTGAAAATGAAATGGTTAGACTAGAAAGCATCCCCAGGGTTGGGCTTTCTTCCTTCCAATTTTTCTTCTTTTTTTTCACACGGGAAGAACAAAGTCTGGAAACCATGCTTAACAGAAGCAAAGGTCTGGCCGAACTAGATTTTAACATGGCCAGTGACCCAACGTGTGGAGAATGGGGTTCATCAGCTTGTTTGATGGTGGGCCAAGGCATGGAGATGACTGAAGCACACAGTGCCAAAAGTGTCTGGGGTGGGGATTAGCCAGTGTTCTTGTTGAAGTTTGAAAGTTTCACATTTTGGATCAGACATCTTTGGTGTTTCATTTTGAAAGTCTAAAGCTTAATTGCTATGTTGGAGAGGAAGTAGGTGCTGCTGCTCATCTGGGCAGGAGTTACTTCCTGAGTGTAATACTCTCACAGTTCACACTCTGTTTATATGATCTGAAGAAAGAGAGTTTTGCCTCATGAGGAGCAGAGGGCTTGGGCCAAGATTTTTAAGTAGGGAAGAAAACTTATGCATTTATATTCATTTTACATTTGGCAAAAATTATTCCCTGACCTTCTCCTAGGGGCTCTTTCAGTTGTTTGTAACATTTGATTTATTAAGGATTAGCTCCAGTAGGAGAAAGCTCAGTTAGATGCTTGGATGAAGCCAAACAGGGTTTAATTCAGAGAGGCAAATATTTCCTGATGATTTACTTACTAGATTAATTCTTTTAATTTTCCATTTGCAGATTGCCCATGAGCAGATTGCGATATTCCCAAATTGTATGTATTATTGGAAGTTACTCACCCATTCAATAATCAAGTATTTCTTGGTCCAGAATTTGCTTCTGAAATTGCCAGGACTCCTACAGCACCGGTTGGTTTGAGGAGCCATGTGGATGGCATGAGGATGTTTGGTATGTTGGCTACAGCAGAAGCTGTGATCATTACAGGCAGGTAGTTGAAGCTGTGTACTGTGTTGGCGAGCTATAAGCCCCCGAGGACACAAACAGATGTGATTTCCTGGGATGCCGCTAACCTCTGCCTGTGCCGTGCAAGTGGCATTTTTACAGGCCGCGCCGCTGACTGTGTTTTGCTAACGTTCACGTTTTCGCCAAATTAATTTTTTGCCACATATTCACGATTTCACTAGTAGCCTGTGGCACAGATGTGTACTTCAGATGTGGAAGGGCTGCAAGCACGCTGACAGCAAGTAGTTATTTAGAGAACAAAATGTCCCCGCTGTTTGCTCAGTGCTACTTTAAACAAATAGACAAACAAGGAGGAAAAAATTTTACTTAAAAGAAGTGCTAATACTGCCTTCTATGTTCTTCCTCCCTGGGGAGACGGTTAGGATCAAGCCACACATGATGGACATTAGTGGGGTCATGCAGGGTGCTGCTGGATGGTGTCAGGGTAAAAAGGGGTCACGAAATGATAGGGAGCCACACGGAGCTGAGGGGAGAGCAGAGGGAACAAATCTTCATTTACATCACTCTGTGTCCACCCACTGGCTAAGCCAAATGCTCTTCCTGTGCGAGTGCCTTTTCTTAAGACTGCTTGGATTTCACCTTGGCCCGGCCAGTTGAGTCCGTAGGGGAGTTAAAGGCTGGACAGTTGCAGCTAGCTGAGTGCTTGGTCCGGTGTAGACAGGATTTTATCTGCAGGCATTTTGCTTCTGGCTCTCAGCCTGATTTAGTCCCAGAAAGGAGTGAAACTGAAGCCGTCTGGTCCATCTTTCTTTGTGGAGGAGCACACTGAGTGCCTGCAAGTTTGTTTTGAGGTTGTTGCCTGCCGATGTGTGCTTTGCAGAACAGGAATGAGTCACATGAGGATCATTCTGTATCCAGCAAGCTACTTCTCCTTTCAACTCTCCATTCCCAAACAGAAGGTCTTGTGACAAAGAAGAAAGGCAGATTCCTGGCAGCCTGGAAATGCCTTTTTCCTCTCTGGCCCCGTGAGAAGAGCTGTAGCGTGTTGTTCAAACAGGTTGATACAAAGTGAATAAACAGTTGAAGAGAGATGGGCAGTTTCTGTAAATAGCAGCTTGCTGGCCAGAGGGGAGAAGAGGGGTGGGAGAGCATGGGTGTTAAAAGGCAGCTGAAGAACAAGATGTTCACATAAAAGCTGTTTGTTTCTTCACAGCACGCAGAGCCTGATACTACCTTGCTATTAGCCATGGCCTAGAAAATATGAAGGAATCTGTGGGAGTTTAACCTTCCAGCCAGACTTTGCAGCAAGCTTTTGTCTCTGCACTAGGAGGCATTTCTTCCAAACCTACCAGTTCCTCCCCTGGACAGTTCAGGTGTCCAGGAGCCATGCTGGTAGGCAGGTGGGGCATCGCCAGGTGGGGTTTAGCAAAGGCAGGTTGTGGTTACAGGGTGTACAAGGATCAGGCAATGGTGAACGTGGTCACATAGCTCTTATGCAGCTCCTCTCATCCACAGAAATCTTTTTCTTCTATTAAGTATAGAAGAAGATCCATATTACTGTCCGAGTGCAAAGTAAATGTATGAGCCACACTTGTTAAAGGACCAATGTGGTGTCAGACAGTGCACAAAATAGCTACCCGCTCATGTGGATTGAACATTGACTGTTTGTTTAATGCTTGGCCAAATCCCACCTGGGTAGTGGAATAAACTGAGCTGTGCTAAGTAGCACAATGGCACTTAAGGAGAGAGGTAAGGGAAGGAGAGCAGCCCCAGGAGAGTTGTATTTGAGTTTCTCTCCATGATGAAGGTCTTGTGGAAATGGAGGCAAATTGTGTTCTAAATTTTGCATGTTGGCTCTGAAGTTGAAGTGGATGTGGCTGCAATAAATTAATTATGTGATGGGTAACAGAGGGGAAGGGACTTAAATGTAGCCAGACAGACAAAAGGGAAAAACATATTGAGGAGTGTGTGGCATGGTGTGGGTGAATGAGTCCCAGGTACCTGTCTGGAAGATGTTCTGTGAAATATGCAGATAGAAAAAGTGTTTTGTGTTTTTTTTCTGGCATCCTGAAGCATCTTCCTGACAGATGGTTTTACTGCCATTTCACCTGCATCCACAGGTATGACTACATTGAGATCCGAGATGGGGACAGTGAAGCAGCAGACCTGCTGGGCAAGCACTGTGGGAACATAGCACCTCCTACCATCATCTCTTCTGGCCCCTCTCTCTATATCAAGTTCACCTCAGACTATGCAAGGCAAGGTGCCGGCTTCTCCCTGCGCTACGAGATCTACAAGACAGGTGAGTGTCTGAGTCACTGCCTGTCTCTCAGGCTGTTTACCACCATGATCTTTGCAAGGAGATGTCTTTGACCATCTTTTCAATATGAATTTTAGGATGTCCTCCAGAGATAAAGGGGTCTTTTTTTTTTTGTTTTTTTTTTTTAATTTAAGCAGGTCTGTTGCATTACATTTCCAAGAAGGTAAAGATACTAGTAGTGCATGATACTGCATTTTTTCATCACAGCATGGCATCAAAAGCAAGGTTCCTCCTTAAGTGCTATTTTGTATTCAAGGACTAGAAACTTATATGTTTTCTCCTTGGCATGTGTGGAGCTTGTTAGGACTAAATGGGGATTGTCCCTTGATTAGGAGTGTAGGGAGCTCCCCTTTGTGTGGAGTTGGGATTCAGGGCTGATCAGTGACGCTGTGTTTTCTCTTCCTGGAAGCTGGGTTTGTAACTGAGGAGCTCTGATTTTCAAGGGACTGCTGTCAGCAGTGTTGTCAAAGGCTGAGACGGTGCCTTTCCAGGCAGATATAAGAGGAACTATTCATAATTCTGTTTAACACCGAACTATTATTGAGGAAAGGAAAAGCTGCTCAAAGGCCTTTTAATAGTGTTTCTGTCTAAATATTTGCCAGAATTGTGTGTCTGGGAAGAAGGAGGCTTGAGGAAATAAAACCCGCTCTGTGTGTGCAGGTGAGAGAGGTGTGCCGGCATGCCGAGGGAGCAAGAGTGTATTTTGTATGAGGATGCGGGAGCCTACCCTGTACCCACATTCCTTTGGTGGTGAGTTGGAAGAAAACACACACACAACTTCCATGTCATCACATCCGGCACAAAAAAAATGCCCACACCTGGTGAAGATCCCGAGAGCACAACAGGGTCACTTACCCAGCCTCTTCAAAGGGAAGGCAGGGAGCACAGGGACCGGTGTCCGCGGGCCTTGGCACAGCTGTGTGGCAGGCAGAGGTGCACAGGCAGCCTGCAACCCAGTCATAGATATGAATGTGGAGACTCTGCTGCGAGAGGATGGGAATAGGACTCCCCAAATTCATTACGTGATGGGGACAGGAGGTGTCCAGAGGTTCAGGTGGTTGAGGAAAGTGCTGTTGCTGGTGATTGCCTGGGCTGTATAACTGGACATTGAGCTGTTGTGGTGCAGCCAGCTCACCACTGCTGTTTGTTAATGGTTAGGATGCAGATTAGTCCTGAAAGAGTTTAGTGGTTCACCTGGCTACTGGGGTTTGCTGAGGCCAGTTGCCAGCGCAGGAGATGGCAAAGAATGCCCGTGTTCAGGTGGGAAGGCTGCTGACCCACCTCAGCCTCCCTTGCCTCTCCCTCCCTGTCCACAGCCCCTCAGAGCCCAGCAGACTGTGCTGAGTTGTGCTTGTCCTCACACCAGGTCCATGCCCCAAGTCCGACACGGGCGATGTGGGGTAGTCCAGATGGCTGCGTGCGGCTGGTGGGCAGGGACGGCAGGCAGGAGCCCTGTCTGCCTGGCTGGGAATCAGAAAGGGCAAAATTAATGGGAAAAGGAGATTTTGTTTCTGCTGGTAGGGAGGGAAAGGAAGCAAGTGGTGCTCTGATAGAGAGTGGATGATGGATGGTGACTGCAGCTGAGTTTGTGTCCCTCTATGTAGGTCCATGCGGAGCTACCCTCAGGTCTGAAGTGGTCTCTGGGCTCCTTTAGCCACCCTATCCCGCCGCAGGCAGCCATGCCGTCCTCACCAGATACAGCCACACTTTCTTCCAACCCCTGTCCACAAAATCCAGCCTAGCAAGGCAGGTTTTGTCACAGTGAGCGCCTGTGATCTGGGAGCACCCACAGCCCACCCACCTGTGGCGCTCCCAGGGAGGGTGGCAATGGCCATACAAGCAAACCCTGCCTTTTGTTTGCAGGCAGGCAGGCACGGGCAAAATTTCCTTCTGAGCTGTCTAGCCAGCAAGGGTGTCACCAGCTTTAAAGGTCATCGGATTGTCATTGTCCAGATCAGTAAAAGCAGTGTGGCTGCAGCTTCTTTCTTTCTTAAAGGTGACCTAAAAAACCAACTCTTTCCAGCTGAGCATTTATTTCCACACCTTGTGCTAAATTTCCTTATCATGGTGTGAAAGAAGCAAATCTGCATACAAACAACTGCATACCAGTCTTTGAATCCCCTCATGGGTATCAGTCAGTGGTCTATGGGCTGACAAAAGAGCCGCCTGCCCTGGCTGGTCCAGCTTCCCTGCTGCTGCTCCCTTTGTGAGTCAGTTTGGCAGAGCTGGCCTGAGCTCTCCATCGCTGGGCATCAAAGTGTCCTCGCGGGCTGGTCCTTGCTGCTAAAACCAGCATGACTCCTGTTGATTATTTGCAGCTTCCTTATAAAAAAATTATCATTGTGTTTGCTGGAATCAGCCAAACTATAGACAAAGATGCCAAATGCAGTAAGAGCCCCACATGAGGAAACTGTTGTTGTCTAATGCAGTGACATAGTTATGTCTCTCTCCTGTCTCTAGAGGACAGTCCCTGACTCTGGGTTTAGTCTTTGATTTTCTCCCTAGCTCGGAGCTTGTGTTATTATCCGTATTTATCTATTTGTCTTTCAAGGTGCTTGGAATGAAGTACACCCTTATCCCTGTTCATGGCGTTATGCTGTGATTTGCGTTTGGCCTTATTTTTTGCCTCTGTGTTTTACCCCACAGGTTCACACCAGAAAAGCTGGCTGCTTCATTAGGCAGTCAATTAAGAGCCTCTCCTGAGTAGCTCTCCAGCTAGGTGCTGCATAATGCAGGGCTGAGATCCTGCTATTACTGCAGGCTGCTGGCCTGACTCCTGTAGGTTAATGCTGAATTGAATAACAAGTCTCCCGTTTGTCCCAGGAAGTTTCATGCTGCCTGGAAGAGCTGGAGCAGAAGGGTTTGTAGAGGAAAAGGAAAGTGTGCCAGTAAAACCAAAGCAGAAACCTTTACAAATGCTAATACTGGGTTGCAGAAGTGGCCAGCAGCCTCTCTAATGTCCCCTTTCACCTCTGATAGCTTCAGGCTGCAGATTTCTGTTGCCTATTGTCCTGTCTTCACAGTGCAGCGGTTTCAAAGTCACAGTGGTATGAATACGACACAAATTCCCCTTTCCCCAGCCACCCTGAGGCACCTTGGCCATGTGAGAGGGGACATGGAGCTGGCCCAACTGTGGCCGAGGCCAGTGCTGAGGTCAGCAATAAATAAGAGGCAACATTGTCTGCCCTCCTTGCCATGCAAAGGTCTTCCTTAAGGATAGAAATAACTTGCATTTCTGGTGTGGACAGCTTAATCTGTAAGAAAGAAGGCTCTGTTCCTCCTCTCAGCAGAGATGCCCTCCATTACCCCCACTCTTGCCATGGCTGTGGAGTGGGGACGTATGCTGGAGCTGCCTCTCATCCTTCACGTGGAACTCAGGGGTTTGCAGGCTAACTGCATGCTTCATGAGGATTTCTGAGGGTTTCCAGCTAATAGTGGAGATGTTGGCACCCTCACCTGGGCCCTTTCACTGTGTAAATATTTGTGCTTCCAGATTTTCTCAAGAGGAGGCTGAGGCACAGATGTCCATGCTGGAGGGGGAGAGGTTGCAGGAGACCAGCCCCTGGGGACAGCTTTTTCCGAAGAGATGGCATCCCCATTACTCCTCTCTGCCTCTTCCCAGGCAGCCCCTCCCCAAACAGGGGCTTCTGCATCAGACCTGGAGCTTCTGTGGCACTTTGCCAGCGCAGATGGCGGGTGGCAGCCACAGCAGTGATGACCAGTGCGCTCTGGCTGGCCCCTCTGCAGGCTTTGGCACAGTGGACACAGATTTCCCATCAGGTCACTGTTCGGGGAGCCCAGCAGACAGAGGGTAGGGCTCGCAGGAAGCCCATCCCAGCTCAGCACCGCCTCCCTTCCTCACCATGGCCACACGGCAGGGTGTTGACCTGCCAAATTGCAATCAGCAATTGGGATGCGATCACCCTCCTAGTCCTGTTTTTGGAGTAATTGGCAGAGGAATCAGCAGTGGCACATGGGTTCTATTTGCAGAGCTATCTGAGGGATTTAGACACATGCTGTTCACTCCAGTGAACGTGCAGACCTTGTATCTCTACCTGTAGAAATCTTTGAAAATCACCCTCTCGGTCCTTGCAGGAATTCACACAGCTCTTGGGTTACAGAACATTTCCAGAAGTGAAGACCCAACCCCTCTAAGCTCAAAATGGGGTTTCCAGAGTATATCAAGCTGTTGGCATTAAGCTGCATTGTTGCTAAGGCTACGTGTTTTTTCCTGCCACTACAGGCTCTGAGGACTGCTCCAGAAACTTCACTGCCTCCAATGGCACTATTGAGTCTCCAGGTTTCCCTGACAAGTATCCACACAACCTGGACTGCATCTTCACCATCATAGCCAAGCCAAAGACAGAAATCCTCCTCCACTTTCTGCTCTTTGACCTCGAGCATGACCCGCTACAGGCAGGGGAAGGAGACTGCAAGTACGACTGGCTGGACATCTGGGATGGCATCCCTCAGGGTAAGCCATGGGGTGCTGTGCTGCTGTCCTCAGCCTCTCTCAGTGTCTCGCAAAGCTCCAAAACTGTGCAGTCTGTATCTGAACACCAAAGGTGCCTAACCTCAGACATGGCTGTAGCATGCAGCCTGCCATCGGGGCGCTCCATGGCCGGCTGTGGGGACCGAAACATAAAGCCCCAAACTACTGCTCTGTTGTAATCACTGATCTGAAAAGCCCCATGGGACACTCCAAGATACCACCGGTCCTCCCTCAGGGAAGGGCAATGGGTTCATGCAGTCCTGGGCTCTACTGCGTACCAACACTGAGAAACAGAGCAGATTGGAGCATTTCCCAGCGATTGCAGAGCAACGCCTGCTGCAGTGGATATTTCTGTACGGCACACTGCATGGCACCAGGCCAGCGGATGTGAAAAATAGCCCTTCCCCAAAGCCTTTCTTTTATCCTGATCAGTCCTGCTAAAGGCATCCCTGATGGGTGATGCCAATCTGCTGGTGACCCAGGAGGCTGGTGGAAAAGCAATTACCTTTGCTGCTCTTTCTTTTGCAGTTGGCCCCTTGATAGGCAGGTACTGTGGCACTAAGATGCCATCAGACATCCGCTCAACCACCGGCGTCCTCTCGCTCACCTTCCACACGGACCTGGCAGTGGCTAAAGATGGTTTCTCTGCTCAGTATTACTTGATCCAGCAGGAAGTCCCAGAAAGTAAGTTGGAAACAATTGTGAGACTTTACAGTTGTGTTACCTGTTTTTCCCAAGTCTTTCACTTGGCACATGCGAGAGCGAGGCAGCCAGAGTGTATCCAGGGGCTGATCCCCCACTGGCAATGCAGACAGCAGTTACACCAGGTGTGTTCTCTGTTTCTCGTAGAAGTGAGATTTCAGTAAGAATCACACTTTTTGACCTTTCTTTGACTCTTCACTTGCTTGTGAAGTCTTCTCAATACCTCTTGGGATAGAATCCTTCATGTATGTACTCAGCCCAAAGGATTTAGGGGAAGACTTCAGCCCAGCGGGTGCAGCAGATTCATTAAAGCATGAGGGAAAATACCTCTCTGGTTTTCCAAAAATTCACAGCCCCAAACTACAAATTGGAATTTATTGGCTGTTTAATTAAAAAATGCCTAAAGCTCTAAGAATTTAAAACCAAAATTTGTTTTAGATTGCTTGTTAAGGGAGGTAAATGGATGTGGAAATGAGGAAATAAGTTGTGTGTTTTGAGAATGAAGAGCATTTTGATACTTTGTGATAGTGCTTGCAGGCATGGAAAGATTCAGTTTGTTTTCCCACGGTATTTCTACATCAGAGCTACAGTTCTCAACCTCTTTTAGCAGTGAACCTGTGATACTGCTGAAGCAGCCTTCAGGACACCCCTCAGTCCCAGAGAAAGAGAGAGAGTACCTGACCCGACACTGAAAGCCCATGAAGGAGAGCGGGGTAGCGTAGGGGTTGTGCAGCACTGGGGCAGCTGGGTTACAGACTCGTGCTCTGTGACTGAGTTAGGGATCTTCTGCTGAGGCTGCCAGAGTTACAGACAAGCACAAGCTCTTCGCCATTACCTATAACACACTCAGTTGATCTGTTCTTTAATCCCCTTTCTATTCTGTTCTTTAAAAGGGTTGGGAAATAATATGTTAATAACACAGAAAGCTTGAGAAATCAAGCACAAGAACTGTTAAAGGGCCAGGCCTGTTTTGATTTATGCTGGTGTAAAATCGAAACTTTAATAATACCACTGAGATCTTAACTTGACACATCATTTCCACCTGGGATGGACTTGGCCATGTTAAAAACAGGCATTTTGGTGGAGCCCTGTTGGTTTACAGCAGTGGGACATGGGCCCATGTAGTATTTCCTATCGCTGTTTGCTATTGTTTTTACAGGACAGCTGACATAAAATATGAGATGTGCAATAAGATTGAGCTAATTGTGATTTTTAAAGCCTTAGAAGTGAGGAAAACCAAATGAAAGCATACCAGAGTCTTACATATTCTTGACTGGTTAATTCATATGGGCCTGATATCACATGTAGCACATGCACATATGCATAGACACATACACACGTGCATCCATGCTCCCACATTAGACTTTCCCTTTCCAGGCCTTGACATTCCTGTTGGCAGCACAGCAGTAAGCACCCTCGCATTGTGCCTACCCATATACCCCTTGCCTTATTAGTGCTTAGATTTCACCTCCAGCCTTCAAGAAGTTGGGGAACTTTGTAGCAAGGGTACTTGGGACATCTTGGTGGAGATGGAGGGAGGGAAGGGACTGAATTGTGTCAAAACTGTGCAAAAGTGGAGGAGGTAGAGAAAGGGAGAAAGATCTGCACTGTATTTGTTTTCAGAGGGCCATGCAAACGTAAAGCTGCCCTATCTTTAGTTTTTCAGTGCCACCTGTGAGCACACACAACCTACAAGATGGTGCAGATCTGTTCATCTTTCCAGGCAAGCAGCTTTGCTTGGGGTTAGTTGAGGAAGACAGTTTAGGGCTGCCTTCCAATTAGGAGTGAAGTACAGAGATTGTAAGCTCATCTGCACATGTGCCTCTGTGTGTCCACTCCAGACTTCCAGTGCAACGTGCCACTGGGGATGGAGTCTGGCAGGATCTCCAACATGCAGATCAGTGCCTCCTCCAGTTACTCGGATGGACGATGGACTCCTCAACAGAGCCGGCTTAACAGTGATGACAATGGCTGGACCCCTAATGTAGACAGCAACAAAGAATACCTCCAGGTATGCATGCTTCCCAGTCCCCTCGCCTCTCCCCCACCAAATGGAGTGTCACGCTGTTAAACTGACCTGTGACCATAAGGCTTGTTGAATTTTTATTGCCTTTGTGGCTCATGGGGAGCAAGCAGCAGGGGAGCTGCAGTGCCTCCGTGAAATGCGACAGGCTGGCCCTCCCATTAGCACGCCTGCATGAGGGCTGACGACCCTCTGTCTCTCTCCCGCTCCCTCCTTCCTACCCAAAACCTTGATGGACTTTCCAGCATACCGAGAGAGACTGAGGGACCTCTGCCACTTACAAGGGCCACTGACTCCACCACTGACCTGAGGACTAAAGTGTCCAGGAGGTGCATGGAAAAACAACTAGAATAATATTTGTCTCATCAGTGATGCAGGGAGCGTGAGTAGGCTAACGTCAGGCAGGGGGCTGACAGAGCAAAGGCTTTCCCTGGGAGCTGGTTAGATCCACAGTCTCTGTCTGCCCAGGGCTTCTGGCTGTGTTGCATTGCTGTGAGACACTACTTGCTAAAGGGCAGTAGGAAAGGGAGGTGGTGAATGTCATTGTCTCTAGCCAGGCATCTCATTCTGTCCTGCTTTAATGGACATGAACTTCTGTGCAGATCCTGTTGCTTTCTCTGAGACAGGAAGAAGGCTTTGTGATGGTCCCATATGGACAGGCATAACGACCCTGAGTTACTCTTGTCCCATAGTCCTATCTGCAAGCACCCTGCTGAAGTCAGCCAAGGGGGTTTGTGCCCATTGAACTGTGCACCCACAGATGGAGTGAGACAGACTGAATTTGCACTTTTTCATGTTTCAGAGACAGAGGGAGGAACTAACTAGCCAACCTGGGCTCTCAGGTAGTCACTGTTGTCTCTCTTGTCCCTTTTACCCCCTGGAAAGGTGGACCTCCACTTCCTGACTGTGCTCACAGCCATTGCCACACAGGGTGCCATCTCCAGAGAAACCCAGAATGGCTACTATGTCCGTACCTACAAGCTGGAGGTCAGCACCAATGGGGAGGATTGGATGATGTACCGACATGGGAAAAACCACAAGGTAAAGGCCTTTTTCTCTTTTGCATGCACCTTGGTGAGTCTTGCAGCAAACAGGAGGGAATAGAAGAGAGAGATTTTACAGGCCTGGAGGGTTTAATCTGTGAGGGACCCTTTTCGTGATGAGGGCTAAAAAAACCTGATCATGCTCTGAGCAGAAATAGTCCTTTGTCCTCTGCACAGCAATGAGGAAACACTGTTTCCTTGGAAAACCTGGCTGCTGTTGCATCTTTCGTGGTGACAAGAGTATGTTATTTGACTGCAAATGAAGGAGAAAATGCTTTCACGGCCTGTGTTTTGCCATACAAGATTCATTGAGCTTTTATGGCCGTAGCCTCGTCTGCATGCTGGGTTAACAATCACAAAACCACATGAAACTGTAGTTCAGGAGTTATTGAGGCCTGGAAATGAAAGGGCACAAATCCTAAGAGGAGTTCGCACCATCCCAGAGAACAAAATGAACAATAAATAATGAGGAGCAATTCAGGCTGCCAGAGCTGTGGGATCTGCACTAGCAGCCGCGGTCGGCAAGGATGCAGTGAGCCCTGGGAGCTACTGCACGCTTTCTGGGAGGCACACAGAGATGAGAGTGAGGGGGAGGAAGGGTAAATATGGGTGTTGAGCCCTTCCAAGCCTTGTGGGTGCTGCTGCGTGGCCAGGCAATGCAGGCTTGAGGTGGTTCAGCATGGGAGCTTTGTCATATGGGGAGGGGGGTTAAGGCAGCCTTGGTGCCAGGCTGATCCTGCTCTGTCACTTGTCTTTGTTGTGTGGTTGTCCCCTAGTTAAGGGCACCTCAGAAAAGCCCTTCCCTGCTCTTCTGTGGTGCCCACCAGCACTGCTGCTGTGGCTCAGGTCCTCCCCATTGCTGTACCATAATCTGTCTGCGTGAACTCAGTGGCTGGGGTCCCACACCCCTCCCCCCGCATGCACGTCCCAGCAATTTCTGCTTGCTCAGCACTTCTATTAAATTAGCTGTCCCCTCCCTTTGCTGGCACAGACACGGCTGGCATGAAATGCAGTAGCCTGCCTTGTCCTGGATTCATCCAGACATTTCCTTCCCTTCCGGGCCATGTGATTTCCCCTTCCCCACAAGTGTGTCTCACAGTTCAAATTCACTCTGCTTCCCAGAATGAGTCCTCTCTGTGTGGAGGCCCCTAGCAAGGGTCTCATACCTCCAATATTTTGAGTATTTAAACCCCTTGCGTGCCAGTGAAGTGGTGTTAGTCCTATTTTAGAGGTAGGGAAATGGGGGCACAGGGCAGCCCAGCACCCCAGAGGGGAGTCAGCAGCTAGGCTCCGGTAGACCTCAGGCAGGCTGGCTCTGGGGCCCCAGCTCATGGCAGAGCTCATGTATAACCCTGATGTGGTGGCTGTGTGCTGGTGTGGAAGCTCTATGCTCTCCCAGGACCCACTGGCTGCAGCAGTCCTTTCTGTGAACCAGGGCCATCTCTCCTCACCCCAGGCATCCCGTGGAAATGGATGAGTTTGAGGTCTTGCTGGAACCGTTTCTGCACGCCAAGGCAGATGGGAGATTGGCAACACCCCAGGGCAGAGAAATGGGCTGAATACTAAGTTCAGTGTTTTTTGACAACCACTGGCAACAGATTTACCTTTCAGAGTCTAACTGGGGCAGAGTCTGACCTGGAGGGTGGTTTTAGTCCAGGAGAGATTAGATATACCATCCTTGCACTCCTGGGCATTGGACACTGGATCCTCAGCCAGGGTGGAGTAGGACAGCAGGGCTTTTTTCAGTGCTGCTGGGCCAATTTAGGTCACTTCAGCAAGACCCTAAAGCCTGGCTGGTGTCAACCCAAAGCAGTCCCATTGCCACCATTTGGGATTTGGCCTTTAAGTCTTACCAGCTTTTTTTTGTTCTGTTTTCTCTCTTCATAAAAAAGAAGAAAAATCAAACCTTTCCTTTTTTATTCCAGTCTCGCTTTGTTCCCATGTTCTGGCCTCAATTTAGCAGACACCTCCCGAGGCTGGAGGATAAGTAATTGCTTTTTGGTGGCTCACCTACCTACCCCTTGCATCTGGGTGGCTGCTATCCCTCCTCACCAAATGACTGGCTGCCAGCCACCTAGTCACAGTGGGGCCAGGGCAAAGCCCCTCACTCACAGGCCTAGTGCCTGGGGGCTCTGGCCCCACATTCCCTGCCCATGTGAATCCCCACCGTTCCTGTGTTAGGCAAGCTCCCAGATGTCTGTGTTCAAGGTGCAGATTCCTCCCTGCGTCAGTGAGGCGCTCCACACGGTTCAGACTGCAACGGTGGAGTGAACCATGCCAAATAGATTTGTCAAGTCTGCCGCAGCTTGATTTGGTGCCATGAGGAGCGGGGAGGGAGGGGAGGGGGTGGACAGACAGGGACTCTCTATTCCTCTCTATAAATGCAGATATATACGTATATATATGCATATATATACACACACACATATATATATATATGCACACACAGGCATATGGAGTGTATCAAATACTGCTCTGAATTTCTGCCGGCTGTGCGGGCCAAAAGCAAAGCTCTGCTATGTTATAGGTGGGTCAGCTAACATTTACATCTTTATCAGGGAGCTAAAGCAAGAGAAAACCATTCAGTAAAGTAGGAGTGGGGAGAGGATGGTGCTGTCTGCAGAGGATGGGGAGCTCTGGCCTCCTCTCTCTTGTCCCCTCGCTTCTCCTCCCTCCAGTGTTTTGGAGGACAGTGGGGCCAGGGTGTTTCCCTGCGAAATGTTTTATCTCACCTTTGCATCCCCAGCCACTGGCATTCATGGTGAGGGAAACAGGAAAGACTTTCCCCCTGCCTGGCTGCCCACTTCCCACAAAATCCAGCCCAGCACACCCTGGACATCCTCCTGTCCAGGGGGTGATGCTCTGTCCTTGCCAGGAGCATGGGACCAATGGGAGAGGCTAACCCAGTGACCTGGCTGATGGTGCAGAGTGTGTGCCCTCCGAGAGAGGAGACTGGGAGGAGAGCGGCCACTCCACATCTTGCCCCACACTCGCCCCTTACTGCCCACCAGCACATCCCCATGGGACAGGGCCAAACAGCCCCTGCACCAGGAAGGCTGCTCTGGCTCTTGCCATCCCTGTTGCATCCCACGCTGTGTCATCTGGGGTTGATGGCCCCAGAGGTTATCTTCCAGGCACTGACCCTGGTGTGTGCACCGAGATCTTATCTAGCAGTTTGCAAATGTCTTTAGAAAACAGCAACTCATTCTTGAACCCAAGGAAGGAAAAGAGCACCTGGCAGGATTTGACCTTTTGTTTTTGGTCATTTTCTTCAGACAGATTCAACTATGAGGATTTTACTGGAAAACAAAGTGCTCATCCATTCTGATCTGCTTCCTTCTTTGTAGGGTCTCAGTTTCTGCTCCATCTTGGTAACTGCAGAGATCAGCTCACGGGGATCCTCTAGTGTGGCAAGGGACTGTGGGACGGGATGGATTTCAGGATTCAGGGTGGGTTGGGAATGTGATGGGTGTGCTCTCTGTCTCCATTGCTCTGAGTGTAACATGGGAGGATTCAACTGTAACATTTGCTTTGATAACCTGTGGCAGTCAATGGATGAGAAATGGCAGCAAGATTCAGCTAATGTGTTTTCCATTTCCTACTTGTTTTGATGGCTTTGTGCTTGTTATCAGCTAACCTTTCTGGGTGGTATTTCAGGTGGATGCACGAAGGCAAGTGGAATTGCCGCAAAGAGCCAACTGTCTAAGCTGTGCGTGGAGCTGGAGATGTCAGAGGTGTTTGGTGCTGGCAGGGAATATTGAGGATGACTCTTTGGAGACCCTTGTGCCTTCCCTTAGGAGCATTCCTCTGTCCTTTCAGTTCTTTATGAAATCTCCTGTGTTCATTTGTCTGGGGAGGAAGAGAAAAGCTTTCAGTCCTGTGGCTTCTTTATCTGGAAAACTCAGGAAAAGCTTGCGTAATCAGACAGAAGGCCACAAGTGCTTCTGCACAGAGGCATCACGGTGCAGAGGCTTTGTCCAGAAGCATCCCCAGGTCCCAGCCTGCTTCTGCTACTTTCACAGGCAGGACAAACATCAGGCTTTGGGAAAGGCAGCCCTGTGCATTCACTCTTGGTGCAGTACCAGGGGAGAATTACAGCCCTGGCTTTCCTAGCAAGGCTGCAGCTTTGTACTTCTGGGCCTGCTATCTCCTTTGCAGGCTAACAAAGTGCCAATACTCGTGTCCCTGGTGACTCCCAGATCTGAGTGGAGCCTCTCAAAGACACGGTGCTGGCAGGCCCAGGCCAGCATGCTGTGCCTTGCCCAGACGGCTGTGCTTTGTTGCGTGTTGCCAAGTATCTTTTTCTTTTTTTTACCTCCTTGTTCCTGGATTTAATAAATCCAGAACTATCCACCCTCTACTTGAGCCAGAACCCTCCCACCATCAAAAATGCCCCATTTTATGCCTTCCCTATCTGACAAGGAAAATAATCTCCCCTACTTTTCTCCTTCATGCTTCTCTGTCTAAATCCTGAAGCCCTAATCCTGTTAGCATGCTCTGTTCCAGGGCTCTGTCTCCACGGGAGTAACATAATCCCGCAGTAAATCTAGTGGGTCCAGAGAGACACATACATACGGATGAAGGCAGGGCTGCTGCCATCCTTGGCCTTCTCCTCTGCCTCCCCCAGCTGCTTTCTTTAGCTCCCCAAGAAATTGCAGAGCAGCCAAGCAGGCACAATATATAAAGTGAGAGAGAAGTTATCTCCTGCGCCCTCCCTGACTCGCTGCCTCTTCGACTTCACGGCACTTTTTGTCTCCCCGTCCTTCACTCCTAACTCTGCCACTGGCACAGTCCCATACCCACTGGAACTAAAGCAGCTTCAGAAATCCCCATATCACCCTGCAGCGGTTCCACTGTGTCAGAAATGTGACTTGGAAGTGTTGATGTGGAGCCTGCATGTGTGTGCACATGGAAAACTTGCCCCATCCTCCTCTAGCCTAGACTTCATCTCCCACCACTTGCTTTCTGCAGCAAATTAATTAAGGAGGTCAGCTTTCATTGATTATCAATTTAATTTTACATGTAGACCTGCCGACTGGACTAAAACAGAAGTAAACATAAAGTATATCAGGAAAGGATGGGCAGCTTTCTGATGCAGCATTGAAAATTAGTTCCCTTGACTGCTTCTTGGAAGGTGCTTTTAATTTGTTAATGGTTTTCCCATTTGTCTTCTGGCTCTGTCACCCTTCAGTGCGTGTGCATGTGTATGCGCATGCGCATATGTGCTCTCTGCTGAGCGTGTGTGTCTCTATCTCCCTAGATCACAGCCAGATTTTTTTTTTTCTGCTGGTGTAAATTATGGTGACTTCTTATACTTCGATGGCGATATGTTGATTTACACCACTCGAAGACTTGGCTCAAAATATGTGCTGAGTGGGATGGGAAGCAGATAGGATGGGAAGAATAGCAATGTTCTATTTTGGTAAGGGGGAAGAAATCTTTGCTTTCTTGGCACTCCCAGTTTCACACATTTTCCTGCTAGTTCTTCCCATGCCATGAGTGCTAATTTGAGGCAGGATGTAGAGCTTGTTCAAGTCAATGGGACTCTCTCCCCAATGCGCTCAGGCTCTGGGGTTGGCATTTTCAGTGCAGAGAAACGGTATGCTCAGGGTCAGCAGCTGCTGACCCTTGGTCAGCAGCGTCAGGACCTGTGGGCTGCATTTCCACTTGGGAAGGAGACTGAAAGGCCAGGCACAAGGGAGGACCCCACTTCTCTAACAGCACTAAGTACCTGCCCTCTTTCCTTTATGCTGAATGGGGTGTGAAGCAGTGACTTGCTATGATCAGTTGGGGCTTTTCAGATACAAGGTTCACCAGGGCAGTTCCTGCCAGTGCAGCTGGAGGTCAGGTGCCATTTCTGCCCTCATAAACTGTTGGTCCTGAGCATCAAGGCCCTGATTCAGCGTTACATAGCTTGTTGAATGTGATCTAGTCTCAGGAAATTACTGGGCCCCAAATCTAAAGCAGAGCTGAGGTTGTTCTCCTAGGAAGCAGGTGGCTGGGACTAAGGTCATGTGAGAGGTGCTTTCAGCAGTGCATGTCGTAGTGCTAAAGTTTTTGAGTTCAGCCCTGCTTCTGCTTTCCGTCAAGCTTGACTTTGCAGAAGTCAGCAACAAATTACGCTGGTGTAAATTTGGATTCTGGCCCCTGATGCTCATATGTGTGAAGTGAGCTAAAAAAGAACGAAACTGGAAATATGTTAAACCAAAAAGAGCAGCAAACCTCATCAGTGACTGTTAAACATGCTGGGCCATATGCAACCTTTGGCTCATGGAGTCTTCAAACTGCTGATTGTGGGAAGCGAAGAGAGGTTGCCAGGCAAAGACTCCCCTGGGCTTGCTGCCCCCAGGCATCTGCTGGGACCACCATCAGGAGCCACCGCCTGTGGCAGAGGGACCTTTGGGCTGACCTGACATGCTGCTCCTTGTGCTAAAATAGTTGCACCAGCTCAGATAAACATTTCCTGTCCTCCGGTGTTAGGTTCAGAGGTGTAAGGTGTTGTGTGTCAGCTCCTGTGTTGACATAAAGCTGGAGGCTTTGCTGTGGTGTGGAAATTTATCCTTTCAGCCTGTGTGTGTGTGTTCCCACAGGTTTACAAGACACACGGACACACACACGCATGCATGCCTGGAGAGCATTTCACAGTAACCACTCTTCTTATAGCCCTCCTGCTGGAAAAAAGGGTATTTGGTGTCTGCTGAGCAAGGAAAAGGATGGGAAGTGGGGTCAGACAGGATAAAATAGGATATTAAAACCACATAAACCATGCTGTGTTGCTAAACGGTAGCAGCATGATGTATATTCTCCAGATTAGCATTTCTACTCAAGTTCACATCAACCCCAAATCCCAATTACCAGCCAGATTTGCAGCCAAGGCCCTCTGTGGGATGGCTGCTCCCTGCCCTGCCAGGAGCGCCGCCGTCCCAGGCAGGACGGCGATGCCCAGGGGCAGCCCAGTACTGGTTGTGGTGCTGCCAGCAACTGCTGTCCCTCTCTCCGGGCACCTTCTGCGTGCCCTGGCCTGCTGGATCCTGGGAAAAGAGCAGAAACATGTGCTGTCTGCAGGCCTAGAGTGATGGGAGGCTTATGAAATGTTTCTTAACGGCTATGCAAGGCGAGAGGCCAGGATACAGCCTCACCCCTTTTTCTGTCCCGGATCACAGGGATCTGCAGTTGAATTGTTTGATTCTCGCCGCCAACAGAAGATTGGTGCCAGAGATTACACTCTCCTGCTTCACTCTGAGATAAACTTAGCGAGAGCTCCTGTGCTTAGCACGGCATATGCAGGGTAGGAGCCTGCAGAAGAGCCTAGACAACATCTCAGTGCGGATGTGGCTCCTGGCTGAGATCAGAGGATGCTCTAGCCCTGTCCTGAGAGCCCACGTCCTTGGAGGGAAAGTGGGCAACGCTCGTAGCCTCAGTCTGTGAGCTTTAGTGCTATATGCTGGGAGCAGAGAAAGGATTGAAAATTACCTTCAGGATGAGTATTTCCCCTTTTTCCCCTTTTCTTCCCTGCTATGGCTCTGCAGCCTGAAATAGAAACACAAGTATCCAGTCCTGGTCTGGACTATTAAAATAATGGGAAGGAGGGGTGGATCTAACGTCCATCTGGTAGTTATTGATTACAGCCATCTGGTAAGGCAGCAGCCTTTGCATATCATGTCGGATCATAAACTCCCCAAAAAGCTGTCTCTGTGTGGCGGGCTGTGTGTGTGCTGGAGAGGCAGGAGCGAGGGGCTGGCCGGGACGGTGGCTCATTGCCCCGGGCAGAGGCAGCATCCTTCCTGCTTGTGCTGCTGCTTGCACACAGCGTTTCCCAGTGGAGCTCAGTGCAAGGACATGTCAGGATGTCAGCCTGTTTACCTGCAAAGGGGAGGCAAGATATCGCAGTGTTCGAGGACATCTGGCCTTTTGTGTTGGAGCAGCTCTAGGTTTAGGGGCAAGCTCAAATCAGCTGTGGCTCAGGAGTCCAAGGTGCCTTGGGATGCTGTGAGAGGCAGTGGGGCAGGAAGCCCCTGGGTCTCCTGCCTGATAGATGAGTCCATCCACCATGGTGTCCTGCAAATAGCTCAACTCTCCCTGCCTGCCCCTGGGTGCCTGCCTTGTCCGGAGGCTGGCCAAACCTGCAAAAACCTCTTCTCAGTTTTCCCTGCAGACATTATTTCAACTGCTGATCTGGTTATTTTTTTTTGTCTGAAGAGAACATAACTGTATTTGTGCCTCCTCTCCCTTGCAGACATTTCAGGCCAACGAGGATGCCACAGAGGTGGTTCTCAACAAGATCCACAGTCCGGTGCTCACACGCTTTGTGCGCATCCGTCCCCAGAGCTGGCACAACGGCATTTCCCTGAGGCTGGAGCTGTATGGCTGCCGCATCACCGGTGAGAGTCACCTCCTCCCCTCAGCCTCAGCCCTCCTCCCTGTCCCCCCAACAGCCTGCCCTGGGGTGCTGTCTCCCGCAGCTGCCATGGCTGCTTGAGATGGGAAGGGTGACCCTGTAAGCAGCATGGAGGCACCCATCCCAAGGGTTGCGCTTGGGGGGGACAGGCACCCAGTCCCCAGAGGCGTGGGGGAAGCACCCAGTGCTGGTGCTGGTTTAGTGCCCAGAGCTGAAACGTGCAGGGAACACCACGAGTGCGCCCTTCAGCTGCCCCAGCTGTTCATGCCCTTTCCTTCCCTGCAGATTCGCCCTGCTCCAACTTGCTGGGAATGCTTTCCGGACTCATCCCTGACTCACAGATCTCAGCCTCTTCCATCAGAGGCTACGACTGGTCTCCCAGCATGGCCCGCCTGGTGAGCAGCCGCTCAGGCTGGTTTCCTCGTGTCCCCCAAGCCCAGCCTGGGGAGGAGTGGCTGCAGGTGGACCTTGGCATCCCGAAAAATATCAAAGGTGTGATTATCCAGGGGGCTCGTGGAGGGGACAGTGTGACCACCACCGAGTCCCGCTCCTTTGTGAAGAAGTTTAAGGTGGCCTACAGCATGAATGGAAAGGACTGGGACTTCATCCAGGACCCCAAAACAATGCAAGCCAAGGTACGCACTGCCGGGAGCAGCTGCAAAACAAGATATGTTTCTGGCTGTCTTCAGTCTGCCTCATGGGGTCTTGGGAAATTAGCTGTCTCTCCCCCTAGAGACCTTGTGAGTTTGAGTTGCCACCATGAAATCCCATGTTGTGTCCCCTGGTCCTGGTCCTAAGCTGTAGGAGAAGGTGTAGGTTCCACCTTGTGCCAGGGATGGCAGTTTCCCTTCATTTCTTACTGAGGACCAGGCCTGGGGATGTGGACATCACCTTCTGCTCCTCCTAGCTCCTGCAGGTCAGAGCCCACAAAATGGTGGGTTCGATTACCCACCATTTACAAACTAATTACATATTTTAAGGGGAAAGGTGTTGCTGTTGTAGCTTGCACTTCTGGAAGAGGAAGATGAGTCACAACTTCTCTTTGGGAAATTTGCTATATATGAAGTCCCTTTTGCCACACTGGTGTGACCCTGAAATTCCCCATGTTTTTCCCATATTGTTGGAGTTCCCCATGATCTTTCTGCTTAGCAATATGGGAGTGGAAGGGGCCTTGAGTAATAAATTAATTATCTGCTACTGCCTGTTCTGTTTTTATGCAAACTCATCTGCTTCTGAAAACTCAGTTCAGTTTTAATTTTTCCTGATCCTACAAATGAGTCTTAGAAGGCCTGATGCTATCTATAGCCTTCTGCTTATTCCCCGCAGACTTGAGTTCATGCACGTAAGCTGAAAAGCAGCCGTACTTGGACTGTGAGGAAAACTAAGCGTTTACACTATCCTAGAACATGCAGTAGCTTCTTTATTTGCCAAAGGACAAATCTGATCTTATTTATATGTGAAGTTAGTGGATGTTCCCCAGGCTTTCCCTGTATGGCTTGGATCAGAATCTGACCCTTGGATAAAAAGCAGAGGCCAAGAGAGATTGTGCAAGTTCCTTAGAAACAGCCTGTCTGGTTCTCTTGAAACTGAGGAGGAACAGCCCAATTTCTGCTCAGCTGGACTCGGTGGCCCGGAGTCGGACAGCTAAACTATTTCAAACTGCAGCTGTGTCCTGACAGACCCAAATTATCAAGTCTGGTGGGGAGCATGTGGGATGCACACATCACTTGCCTTTTCTCTCTCTCTCTCTCTCTCTCTCTGTAGCTTTTTGAAGGCAACATCCATTATGATATCCCTGAAGTCCGGAGGTTTGACCCTGTTCCTGCCCAGTATGTCCGAGTGCACCCAGAGAGGTGGTCTCCAGCGGGAATAGGAATGCGCCTGGAGGTGCTGGGCTGTGACTGGACAGGTAGGAGCCCCTGTGTCTCTGCCCACTGGCTCCATCGGGGCCGCATCAGGCAGTAAACCAGCAAGGTATAGGCACAAAGTTATTTCTCTCCCTGCTGTCCCACCTCAGGGCCATACCATGGCAGGGAGACTGCAGCCATGAAGGCAGGACTTGTAGTGAGGCCTGACCCCACCTTTTTACTTCCACCTTAAAAAGAACTAGCCTTGACACAGCATGTAGCAGCAATGTTTGGACCCCAATCCAAGCTTTTGCACAGAGCCCCATGCAAGATTTGTCCTCAACTCCTTTCTCCCTCCTTTCTCCCTCCTTTCGTATCTTTGGATGTTATGCACGCTTTCCCACTCTCCATGTTAGAAAACATTTAGGCTTTTTAATCCAAATGGATAAGACAAAAAGTAGGAAGAGAAGCAGAGGTGCAGAAGAGGGATGCAGTGACTAGTACAGGTATCTTGAGCTACCACAATAAAATTTTGCTGTAAAAACAACTGTTCCTCTCTCATTGAACCCCATGTGGAAATCCTTTTGTAGACAAGGTTGGGGATTTAAATCTACAACATCTCTAAGACCAGGGAAGTTAGTTCACTTTTGCCCACCTGTTTTTCACAAGTGGTATGCCTTGTAGCCATCATTACTTTTAATAGAGAGGTGAAAACTAACACACTCACTGGGATCAGTACAGGTTATGCCTCTGACCTTCTGAGGCTCAGTGGTGACTGATTGCTCCACAGTTTCATCTCCAAAAGCCAAAAATGTACCCAACAGCTCATTGTGTCTGACGCTAGCTTTTCAGTGCCAGGGGCTAGTTGTCCCTTTTTTAATCTATTTTATTTTTTAATAATCTGCTTAAATCTGAATCTGGTATCCAGATGTCAGTGATAAAGTGGTATGATTTCCATTTTATAAACACATCTGTAGAAGGCATTTTCTTGTAAGAATTCCCATTCTTGGAAGCTTACAAGACACAAAGTTTTTTTCCACCCTTTTGTGGAGTCTTATTACCCTTTCCTTCTGCGGTGTGCTGTGAGATACATTATGAACACTTAACAACAAATCACAGAACACACATGCACACAATTAATGATGGTAATTTGTCACCTTTGAAGTCAATGGCAAATCTCCCCCTAGACTGGGAATCCATTGTAAATTATCTAAACTTTAAATCAAGATTAGATCTTAATTTAAATTTTACAGTGTCTTTGGGATGTTGTAGGAGAAGCAGGTGTCATGGCTTTCATGCAAGCAACAGGAGCTGGGGCTTTGTGCAGAAGTGGTCAAGCAGCTCCCAGTAATCTCCAGCTGCCAGTTCTCTGCAGACCATTGCTGGCTGGTGCATCACAGCGCTGCATCACTGATGCAAAGGGTCGCAGTTGCACAAGACCTCCAACCATGTACGTGTCAGCCCCTCTATTGCACTCCTCCAAATTAGAGAATAAGAGGGATTTGGCACCCTCAACTTCTTGTGCTATTTTTGGTCCAAATTTTCTTTTAGATCTATGTCCACGTTCGGTTTCAGTATCAGCAACAACAGCCCATGTTTGTTCCAGTCAGGGTGCTTTATGGTCATTTCCCAGTGTGGCTGTCTAATCATTTGCACATTGCGATGTTTAAAACTCAACTGCCAAGTCATAAATATTCGTAGCTTTATTGATCTACAGGCATTCAGCTTTGTAATCAGAGCAGGGCTTGTAATCTTGTGGATTCACCATGTTATAAAAAGCATTTATATCCCTGATGCAACCTGGGGAGCAGAGATAGCCCGTGGCATTATCCACATGCTAAATCCAGGCTGGCTACACATAGCATCTGGGTGGACCCAGACATGTTACAGAGCTGGCTGTGAAAACCCAGGCAATTGCACTTGCTTGGGAGCAAGATTAAGAGAGGGATTAAAACAAGCTGGTTGAAAATATCTTCAAGTGAGGGCCTAAACCCATGTGTACCCTGCCCAGCTGTTTTTATTTCTTATCAGCAACAAGCATCTTAATTACTGAGTCAAAGAGGTAACTTAACAGCAACTGGGCTCGCAAACTAGCTGACTAGTAGCTCAAAAATTGGGAAGCAGGCAGTCAGCAATTGACTTCTTTCAAAGACCTGCCAAAATTTTTCATCTGAAGAGTGAAGATTGATGAATGTTCACTTGCAGCTGGTTTTCTCTCCTTTGAAGTTTCAAACATCTGGTTTCAATTGCTCAGTGACTTTTTGCATTTTGATCAGCAGTTACCACCAGTTGCACAGACACTTGCTGGACCAGGGAGAGAGAAAGCGGGCAAGCAAGACCTTTCTTTTTCACTTTCCATTTCACACATCACATTGTCCTCCCTGCTATTTTCATTATCTCTTGTAACCACCGTGTTGCGGTTCTGCCATGGTAACTGATTTTTCAAGATATATTTCTGCGGCTTGTCCAGGGCAGTGCAACACTGTTGATTTACATCCGCTCAGCATCTGTGTCCCGTATGGGGCTTGGCTTTCAAGGTTCTTCCACATTGTCACATTTCAGCTATAAATCTCAATACACAAGAACAACAACCTAAAAAAATGTACCAGCTCTAAATAACTTGCAGCTTTTGATATGTTACCTTCACCTGCTGCTTTTTTTTTTTTTTTTATGACATTTTTCTGTGCCTGGCTGCTTGCAATTTGCTTCTTGGTTGCATTTGGAGTTTTATGGGGTTGTAACAAATTTGAACTTACAAATTAAAAGACTTTGAGGTTGTTTGGTATTTTATCCTGAACAAAAGACAGCCACTGGCAAAAAGAAAAATAAAAAAACGTCTGAGAGTTTATGTGCGACATGTTTAATAACAGGAAAATAAAAGGGTAGAAAGGAGCCTATGGAAAATATTCAATGTATTTAGCCATTTCCTGCTGTTTCTGACTTTATTAAATGATATCCTGAAGGGTACCGACAAAGAAACACAATCACACATAACTGAGCAAAGCAGCCTCTTTTTAGAAGTGGAGAGAATCAAGCCTGCTATACTCGTAAAAGGAGAGACTGCTGGAACCTAATGTCATGTACTGTTGATCTTAATATCCTTCCCTTTCTTGCTTAAATTTCCCCTGACACCTGCTTGGAGAGGTTGTTTCACACGGGCCATGTTGGAGAGAGGGAAATTGGACAGAGACCCTTTGAAAGCATAGTCAGGAGCCTGGAGTGTGAAACCAGATGCTTTCCGCAGTGAGCCAGAGCGCGCTAGGGGATCCTCTGGGTCCGTTTGCGGTTACGTCATTTATGGGTTTGAGTGACTTGTTTTATAAATTGGCACAACTGGTGGGAATGTTGCGTGTGGTTTTTTAACGTGTCATATGCCTTTATGATAGAAAAAGACGTTCTGCCTGTGATCTCTCTTATCCAGTAATGACAGCTAAGCGGATTGCCAACACCAGTGTAGATTAAAAAATTAAGAGAAAAAGTAGCGTGTATGTCTAGAGGAGAGCCTTGCCCAACGGGGACTCTAAATCAAAGTAACTCTCATATGGAAACAGCCAGTTCACTTGAAGTTCAAACCATGCTGACATCTGTTGCATATGGAAATTTTGTTATATTCTTGCTCTCTCTACCATTATAAGAACATGAGGAAAAAAAAAATTGCTTTGTTTCCTCCTACCTAGATGTGGTGGTTTGACCCACAGTGGGACCA